CACCTGCAATAGCCCCTAACAAGAGCGTCAGCCTGTCCTTTAACGTTTTGAAGTCAGGTATGGACTTCTCCTCTCTAGCTATGAAAGTCCTAGATCGTGGTAATTATAACTCTTCTTCCAATATAAGGCTGTTTCGTCTACATTGAAAATCTGTTGTTTAGTGTAGCCACCTTCATTAACTATCTTAGCTAGGGCTTCTGGATAACTTGCTGCAGCTTCTACATTAGGGCTTTCTACTTCGCCGTGCACTTTTATGTTACTGGAGACAGCTACTTTCCTTAAACCTGATGAACCAACCTCTGCTAGCTTCAAACTTTTCTTCTGTAGCTTCCTCACCTCTCTCAGCCTTCAGAGAATTGAAGAGAGTTAGGGCCTTGTTCTGGGATTAGGATTTGGCTTAAGTGAATGTTGTGGCTGGTTTGATCTTCTATCCAGACCACTAAAACTTTCTTCATATCAGCAGTAGGCTATTTCACTTTATTATTCACTTGTTCACTGGAGTAGCACTTTTAATTTCTTTCAAGAACTTTTCCTTTGCATTCACAACCTGGCTAGCTTCCAGCCTATCTCAGCTTTTGACATGCCTTCCTCACTAAGCTCAATCATTTCTAGCTTTTGATTTGAAGTGACAGATGTGTGACTCTTCCTTTCACCTGAACACTTACAGGCCATTGTAGGGTTATTAACTGGCCTAATTTCAATACTGTCATGTCTCAGGGAATGGGGGGCCCTAGGAGAGGGAGAGAGACGAGGGAACGGCTGGTTGGTGAAGCAGTCAGAACACACACAACATTTATCGATTACATCCGCCATCTTATATGGGTGCAGTCATGGCACCTCAAAACAATTACAATACTAACATCAATTCACTGATCAGAGAACACCATAACAGATACAACAATAATGATAAAGTTTGAAATACTGTGAGAATTATCAAAATGTGACACAGAGACACAAAGTGAGCACACACTGTTGAAAAATGGCACCGACAGACTTGCTCAGCACAGGTTGCCACAAACTTTCAATTTCTAAAAACCGCAATATCTGCAAAGCTCAATAATTCGAAGCACAATAAAACAAGGTGTGCCTGTACTGGTCTTGCCAAAATAACTTCAATGCCTCATATAATATCATGCCTCCAAATGTGACAGAGCATAAAGCTGACTGTCAGTCAAGGCTTCTGTTCTGTTATTCACTTGAATCAAAGCTCTGTTATATAATTTTAAAGGAACAGAAGAATTATAAAGGCTATTGCAAATTTGCTGCTGGTGACTCAGATCAAATTTAGAACATTAATGGGAGGAGGAGAAGAAGAAATAATATATGGTTATATGTAGTATTCATACATTTCCAAAGCAATTTCCCATTAATTATCTAATGTAATCACCTTTTTTTTTACTTGTCATGACATGCTTAAATTTTTCTGCTTGCCCAATCTGCACACTTTTCACAAACGCTGCACATTAACTTTCACGTGCACAAAACCACTTTGCCTTTTTCCTTCTGTGCCAGTCTGATTTTCTATAACACTGTTTACTTCTCCGGCCAGTTCTTTGGCTTCTTTTACATGTTTACAGGAATTCGTATTTCTTTTGCCCTAGAGTCATGTTCAAAGAATGGTCCTTTGTGCTTCCCTTTCACCTTTCAATTGAACCCGATCACAAAAAACTCTCTGGGGGAAAAGAAGAGCTTGCCCAAACTCTTTCTCCCCTAACCTTAGAGAAAAGAAAATTCTCTCTAGCCTGAAGTACAGAACACCTTTCAGAAGAAGGTCCCTTTTGTCCCTAGACTGGTCAGCTGTAAAAAGGCTCTGCAAACCACGTGTAGTCAAGTAACACACACACGGGCCAGCGTGGCCAAATCACACATGCAATGGGGAGACAACAGAGAGGACTCAAGGGTGAGCTTCAAGGAAGCTATTCATCCACCTCACTTTCAAAGCCAACTCAGAGAGATGGGGCTAATGATGCTTAGCCCTTAAGGCTGTTCTTGGCATTTGTCTAAAACTGATAACATAAATATAGGTGTTCTACATCATGAGTTATCATTTCATCAAGATTTAAAGTCAAGTAAATATTATGAAACTTTCTTTGGGATTTGACAAACATATTCTTAAGTACATTTAGAGTAATATAAAAGTGAGAGGAGCTATAAATGCCTTGTAAAAGAAGGGTGATAAGTAGGACTTGTGCCCCAGACATCACAAGGTCTTTTATGGCAGCTGAAATCCACATGCTTGCTGGCCAGGGTGAGTGGAACTCAGCTGTCCCACTTTGCTACAGAGCCTGCTTCATCAAAGCAACTGGACATGCAGGGTCAACAGTTAAAAGCATTGCGAGAACTTGCTGTAAAATTCCACTTTTAAAAATATCTTCTGATAGAAACAATCTCAAATACTGAAAAGTGTTGCAAGCTCAAATATGTTCACTACAGTAATATTTATAACAGCAAATTCAGACACAATTTAAACATCCCAAATTAGGGAAGTAGTTAACTAAGAATCCCTGGGTGGTGCAAACACTTAACCCTCGACTACTAGCCAAAAGGCTGGTGGTTTGAACCCACCCAGAGGTGCCTTGGAAGACAGGCCTGACAATCTGCTTCTGAAAGGTCACAGCCTTAAAAACCCATTGGAGCAGTTCTACTCTGCACACATAGGCTCGCCTTTAGTTGGAATCTAATCGACAGCAAATAACAACAACACTTAACAATGAAGCATTCGTGCACTGCAATAAGGTACATCCATTTTAAAATTGTATGTTTTAAAGAGTTTGTAATAAAGTATTAGGTATGAAAAAATAGAAAATTGAATGTACGGTATGATCTCAACTATATAAAAATATACGTAGAAACAAAAAGAAGGAACAAACCTAAATTTGAAAGATGACTGTCTCCGAGTGGTGGAAGTAAAGGTATTTCCCTTCTTTTACACTTTTCTGTATCTCACGTATTTTCTGCAGTTAGTATGTATTAGACTGGGCTAGAGACCTTATATTTAAAAGATTTTAAAACTCCTCCAATAACCAATTTTCTATTCAATTATTGAGGGGAATTCTACCACATTGCTCAGTATTAGCCTCCAGAAACTAACATGTATCTATTTTGAAGATGACCTCAGAAAGCTACAGAATTAAATAATAAAGTATAACTGCTTCTAATTGGTGAACTCCTATGCACATTACTTCATATTCCCGGCTTTCATCTACCAGGGAGTGTAATAATTTCATGCCTATAGAATACAATTTCAGAAAAATATATTTTGACCAAAATGATATAAAGAATATGTTTTCTCAATTCTAGCATATTCCTCACTTCCAAAATATTGCTCTATCTATGCAGGACATCAGTAAAACAAACCAATTACCTGATATATTAACTTGGAAAACAGAACATTCTGTATAATTTCACTTATACACACACCTTTTTCAGAGAAGCATTATGAACATCATGTTTTATAAACTTTAACAGCTGGAAGGGACTTTGGAAAAGAAAACTTTCATTTAACAGGTAAGGAAACCAAGGACAAGGGTGAGAAACAAGGCAAGAAAAACATCAAATGCTCTTTCCCAGAACCCTGGTGGTGTAGTGGTTAAGAGATTGGCTGCTAACCAGAAGGTCGGCAGTTCGAATCCACCAGCCGCTCCTTGGAAACCCTATGGGTTTCTGTCCTATAGGGTCACTATGAGTCAGAAGTGACTCAGTGGCAATGGGTTTGGAGCCCTGGTGGCACAGTGGTTAAGAGCTAGGCCGTGTTATAGCTGCTAACCAAAAGGCTGGCATTTCGAATCCACCAGCAGCTCCCTGGAAATCTATGGGGCAGTTCTACTCTGTCCTATAGGGTCGCTATGAGTAGGAATCAACTCGACAGCAAGGTTTTTTTTTTTTGGTTTCTGGATGGCTGAAAGGGCTGTAATGCCAGGTGCTCTCATTAGCATGATTAGCGTGCAGGACTGTCTCCCTCATGATAGTGGGAGGGGGACAGCTGGCTGGTACTCCTGAGCTCCGTTCTCCTGGACAGAGTTCTGGCTGAGGGCTCAGGCTTGTGTTCTGGCAGACCTGCACTACAATCCTGGTGTGGTCATTTACCAGTGACGGGGCTTGGGAGAGTCACATCCTCTTTCTCTCTGTTTCCCCCTCTGTATAAGGCCTGGAAAAGCCAGAAGAGCAGAAGATGTCCAGGGGACAAACAGAGACTACCATTAGCCTGGGAGGGTCCTCCTTCCTTACCAGTGAGAAGAGCTCTCTGTGGCTGAGTCACTGCATTCCCTGGAACCCTTCATGACTGACACAGGGCAGAGTCGATTCTAACAGAACTAACGCCTGGCTATTTTTATCACATTCTCTTGAAATTCAATTTCATAATTGTACCCCAACTTCAAATTACAAGCCTTTTGATTAGCTAGAACATTTCTGAGGATAGAGATGGATAGAGGAGGAACAGCATGACAGATAAAAATATTTATCTGGAATGTTGGCTATCATTAGTCTGATGAAAGGTTGGAATTGTTACACGGATACTGAAGGCCAAAATGAAGGAGGTTAATGACACTGATAATTCCAGAACCTCAGAAGTGTCTTTGAGATCTCCAGGCACCTGTGGATTCTTGTTTCTAAACCTGCATTCAGATGGCCATGCAATCACAAGTGCAAGGCTCTTGGGTGAGAGTGTCACAGTGTTGAACCCAGTCTTGTCTAACAAGCAATAAACGTCCTTTATGCATGAACCCCTGAATCTTGCTTTAACCTGAGTAAGTGGAAATGCAGCTGACTCTGAAACCATGTTCTGCTCCTATTTCTGAGAACATGATCTGCCTCTGTTCTCTGACTCACTGCAGAGACCCCACACAAGGAGTAGCCTTGCTCAAGAAGAAAGTGCCAGGCAGGGCAGGGACTCTTATTGATTTACCAGGGCTTTCTGAGTGATGTACTGCTCTGCTAAGGTGTTTTAAAGGCATTTTTGTCCCTGAAATAATAAAATAAAAGTATAGGTAATAACTCACCCAAAGTGACTGGCGAAGTTCACGGAAATATAAAAGAGAAGGAGGTTTTTGATCATGATAAAACTAGAGAACATTCCATTGTCCATTCCCAATGAGAATAACAGTTGAAGTAGATGAATTTGGAAGAATAACTATTCCTTTCTCCAACTTGATCTTGCAACTGAAAGGTACACAAAGGGGAATTGCATATGAGCACGAGTGCTTTAGTGTCAATTTCTGGAATCAAATCATACTGCTAACGCTCTATAATTTACAAAGAAAGGGAAGCTGGCTGTCATTCCCCAGCCTCAGCTCCAAGCCAGGAATTACGTGTTCATTAGGCAGCAAGTTGGGGCAGGAAAGAAGTTATAATACAACTTAATTTCCACATTTACTTAGAGTTCAGAGTCATTCTTGTACCTTTTTTCTCCTTTTCTCAAATACACGTTATCAAATGACTCATTGTCCCTAGTATTAGAAAAAAGAGCAACCTCAGCAACTGCATTTTGTTTTCTGTCAAATCCACAAGTGGGAGAATTTTACCTTTCTGAAATATTTGCCACGTGTTCAAAGCCAGCAAACTACTCCTTGTTCTGCAAAGTGCTGAGAGAAAGTATGCGGAAAGAAGGGGGGAAAGTCACATTTAAGAAACAAGTCTTGCTACAGGATCACAATACTTTAATAACTGTCACCACTTTCTCAGCTATCCGCCTCAATGACTGACTAATGTAATAGTCACTGCATCTTACTGAGAGACCGAAGTCTCTCAGTTCAGTGCTGGGCCCTAATTAATGCATTTGAGACACAGCCAGTCGTGGCTGCTAGGCTTTGCAACCAACCTTAGTGAATGCACCTATTTCCCAGTGCGCGCATAATGGACACAGCACGTTCGAAACAAGCATTTTCCCGAGGAGCCCCAGACAAATTCAGAATTAGGAAACCCACAACAGGTACTTCCACCTCAGAAGCGAAGACTCTCTGTGACTCCTGTCAAAGGTGCAGGGAGACGGTCGGTGGTCGGCTGGGCTCGTCTCCGGAGTCCGGACAGCGAGCGCGCCGTGCCGGGTATGGGAAACGGCAGGCGGCGCCTCTCGCCACCCGTCAGCCGCGCGCCGAGGCACGCCAAGGAGAGCCCGCTGGGCTCCCGGACCCGCACGCGGTGCTGGTGGGCGCAGGAGGGGCACTGCGGAGCCGCAGCCTCGGCTACTCGCCGCCCTGGGCCCCGGCAGGGCCAGCTTCGCTCCCCGTCCGCTGTGGCGAGCCGAGCGCTCGGCTCGCAGCTCCTCTGAGGCCCACTGCCGGCCCTGGCTCAACTCCTCGCTCCCGGCCCCGGGTCCGAGGCAAGCTTCCGCTCCGCAGCGCCTTTCTCCGTCGCGAACCGCGCGCGGGGTTTGAGCAGCCCGCCCAAGCAACACCAGCGACCCGCAGGCGCCACAACGGGGGACCCTTCTGGGTCGCAGTCTCGCCGGTCTGGCTCCCAGCGGCAGTGGCGGTCCCGCCCCGGCCTCATTCCTTCCGAGCCGGCGGCCCCGTGGCCGCTGCGCTGTGGGCCCCCAGCGCAGGACGGCGCCCCGTCCGGCAGGGCTGCGCTGACCAGGGCGCCTCTGCCTCCAGCACGCCGCTTCGCCCCGACCCTGAGCAAAGTTTGCGCTCCGGCCGGCGTCCCCTCCTCGATCTCCGCCTTCCCTCTCGGCCATGCAGCCCTCGATTCGGGCGCCCCAAACAGAGCGTGCGGCCTTAGCCGGGAACGCCCGCCCTCCCTCTCCTCTTCCCCAGCTTCCTGCCCCACGGCCCGGCCCCGCACACCTGGGGCTTACCCTGTGCGCCGGCCCCAAAAGGTGAGCGGTTGGCGAGGGTGCATCCTCCTTCTCGTCCTGCTCCTCCTCCTCGCGCCCGCCTGGCAAGCGCCAAGGGCCGGTGCGGCGTCACCGCCTCATGCTGCCAGCAAGAACTTCCCGTTGCTCCTGGCCGAGCGCAACGGGCGCCCAGCGCTCTCGCCGCTGCCCTGCGGCTTCGGTGTGCACCGCGCCCGGAGCTGCGCTGCCTCCCTGCCGCAGCCGCCCGCGCCCCGCGCGCCCGCGCTCGCTCGTTCTCTCGCTGTCTCTCGCCCGCGCGCGCTCGCTCTCACCTCTCGAAAGCGCCACTTGTCGTCTTGTGGGCTTTAGGATCGATCGCTCCTTCGCAGGTGCTCCGGCAGAGGACGCCAGGCCCTCACCAAATGCGCTCTGGGTCTTGTTCCGCGGAGGGGGCGGGCTCAGGGCCCGCGGGTAGGCCTGCTGGGAGAGGCCATGTTTCTTCTGAAGTTTCTTGAGGGTCTTTAGTCACGTTTTCGGTGCCTCTTGTAATAAACACGGGTTCCCCTTTTTGGACCAGTAATGTCGCCAGAGATGTAAAGGGAGTTTCAGCAGGCAGGAGCCTGGGATCACAGGGGCCTTTGTTCTGGGAGCTCTCTCCTCTTCAAGGGCCGGTCCAGGTGCCTCCGTCTCCTGACCTTGGTCCTTCCTCAGTTTTTCGTGGCTGGCCTCTCTTAGTCTCTTCAGAAATGAACTAGCTTGTGAACTTCCTATTTATCTGGTATTAATTGCTGGTGGGGAGGCGGGAGTAAAATTGGATTAGATTAGAATAACCCACTGCCAAAACCAAACCCACTGCCATCAAGTCAATTCCTGATTCATAGCTACCCTACAGGACAGAGTAGAACTGCCCCCTAAGGTTTCCAAGGAGTGGTTGGTGGATTTGAACCTCGGATCTTTCGGTTAACAGCCAAGCACTTAACCACTGTGCCACCAGGTCGCCTTTGATTAGAATAACACCCTTACTTAATTGTAGCATCGTTTGGGGTTTTTCTGAAGTTCATTTCTTGACAAGAGACCACTTTGTCAACAGCAAGGAAGAGGAGGGCTCTGCAGACCTGAGCTGATCTAGTGTTGCGGGCAGGAGCTCCCTGGAGCTGGCCAAGGTGCACTGCCTCCAGTTGCCCACCCACACAGTGAGATTTTATTATTGTGATTTTACTGTGATCATGCCTGACGCTGGTCTCAGTGGTGCAGTTCCTGTGGAATGAAGGTGGCACTAATGACAACTGTCCAATGCCCCCCCCCCCAAAGTGAATGCTGACAGAAACAGGGCTCCCTTCAAACAGCACAAATACGATGACTTCAAAAGCAAGCAGGTTCCTTAATTTCAAAATCGTAGTATCTTGTTTCATCGGGAGACGGATGCGTTTTGACAGTGAGAACAGTCAGTGAAAAAGGTTCATGATTTAAGATTAAACCACTGAAGACATGGGGTTTATATTATTATCGCACACGTTTTGTGAAACTGCATTATTTATGGTCACTTTTAAGACAATAATTGTGAAAAAAGCAAATTACTAACTCCTCTCTAGAAAAAAACTTTAATCTTTCAGTGAGTGAATTAAGTGCCTTAGTTCTTCCGTTAATGTCAAATACCCTGTATTCCAAGTCCAAATAACCTGCTGGTGCTTTTGGATCTTCCAAAAATTCCATAACACCCTAATGGGAAGTTATAAGTGTATTCCAATAACAGAATATAATGATATATACATATGTTGCAAATACACAGAAAGTTTTATTCTAAAAATCCATTTAGACACAGTAATAACTCTGATTCTAGTAGTCCTACATAAAATATAAAATAGAAAAGATGATCATTTAAAAGAGTTTTCCAATTGTAAAATGGATAATCAGATTTTATATTTTTTAACTGTTAGATGTTGGAATTCTAGGTTTAGAAATACCAGTGACTGCTACTCTTCTTTCAGGAATAAACAGCATAATGCAAATCAAAGAATTCAAATAACCAGTGAATTTATAGCACTACTGATTGTCACATGAAGTTATTCAGTATTTTTTGCAGAAAAAAAAAATACATAGACAAAAGATTACTTTTATCTTAGAGTTATACACATTAATTCTTAGCAATAATATTTATATGATTGAAGAATAAAATGTCAACTATATCTGAGCTTACGTTATTTTGATGCATTACATTTAAATTATCCATGGTTTTTGTAAGTTTTCTATCAGCTTAGTTTCAATGCATGTCATTGAATATATGAAAATTATCTTTTAAGTAAGATCCATTCTTTAAAATTGTATTTCGGTGTGTTGCTGTACATGTGGTGGAATGGTAACCCAGCCTCTCCTAAGGTTTGTGTAACATAGCCTCATGTCAGATGGATCTGAGGGGAGAGTGAAATAATAAGAGATGTCAGAACCTTACAGTTTTAGAAGAATACTCATTACATTTCCATAAGGTTTATTTTAATACATAGTTCAATGTTTGTCCTGGTCTATCAGCTGAATTCCCATTTGCATCACTAGCATTTTCCCTTACTGTTGAATGAAATAAAGCAAAGAATGCAGCAGAGGGCACCCTAGTTCCACATAACCTCACTGTTTGACCCATATTGGTAAGAATTGAGTTTTCAGTGTAAAGCCTAATAGCTGAAACTGGGAAGGTGAGCTACGGTTGGAGTTACGTGCCCACAGAAGGCCCACTCTGTACCCCAATCTAGAGCAAAGGATGAGAAAAGTGGCTGTGTTTGTGTGGGCAGGTCTAGTAAAGGTCACTAAATCATGAAAAGCAGTGTAATCTGGAGGAAGTGGAGCCTTGTAACGTGAGAAGTTGAACGTAGGATGTTCTAAACTCAGAGCCTACACGTACAGTGTAAGGCATGTTCAAGGAACTGTGTGATTTTGTATTTGTAAAGAATAAAGTACAAGGTAAAGATAGTGAGAGAGTAGTAAGATGTGATAGGTAGGCGGAGACCGGTATAAGAAAACATGCAATGTGGAACCAGGTAGTCAACTTCATCCAAGAAGGAGCCATTGCATAGTTTTGTTCAGGGAAAGGTTGCAATGCTAGAAAACAATCCTTCTGGCAACTGTATAAAGAAAAGCATGGGAGGAGGCAAATCCAGACTAAAAACATCTATGAACATCACAGTCCTAACATACAGCCAGCACATGGCAGGAGCTTAATAAATGCTGGAGTTAGTTCATTAATGGAATGATGAACATTGACTCGCATGTATTCAAAGCAGACTGATAAATGTTTTGACCAAACAGAGACAAGAAGGTCTTGGTTGTTTAGGGAGGGGAAAGGTCAAGTCTGCCTGGAAGAAGAGGGAAATTTTCTAGGAAAAAATAGCAGCTGATTTGGACTCTGAAAAAGAACTTAAACAGGAAAATACCAAAAAAGGCCAAGGGAAGACTGGGAACAAAGGTGAAGGGCTCACTGAGTAATAAGTGTTTTCTTTATAGAAAGAGCTGTATTTTTAATCCATAATTTATTTCTTTTACATTTCACATTGTTTAGGGTTCTCAAATTAATTGTCTGAAGGCTACATATGGCTACAATTAGCCAGCACTTTTTTAAAAGAATTAGAGCCAACATTTAAAAACCAGAAGATTTCATGTACATAATGAATGAATGGATGAATAAATTTAGACTGCTGGCTTTACTTGAAAGTAAAATCAGATATAGCAACACTGAGTATATCCCACACTCTTGCCCCACCCTACTCCATTCTACTTATAATGCGTATGAGCCTCTTGGAGCAGCGTGGTCTATTCTTTCTTACGCTTAACCTACTCCCTTCATTTATGTTACCTGGAAAATAGAGACAATTGGAGTTTTAAAAAGGCTTTTAAAATTTCTTTTTGATTCCATTTTATCTCCATTATAGTCTTATTATTTACATATCATTGTGGTTTTTGTTTTTTTGTTTGTTTCTTTCTTTGTTTTTAGTGATTGCTCTAGGGTTTACAATATATATACATAACTTGTTACAGCCTACCTTTAAATAGCATTATATTATTTCATGTATAGTATAGTGTATGTATCTTACAACAATAAGTATACTTCCATTATACACTAACAGTATACTTTCATTTTTCTTCCTGTTCTGTTTGCAAGATCCCTGGATGACACAAACCATTTGTTCTTGTTTTGGTTAAGAGCTCGGCTGCTAACCAAAAGGTTGGCAGTTCAAATCCACCAGCCACTCCTTGGAAACCCTATGGGGCAGTTCTACTTTGTCCTATCAGGTCACTATGAGTTGGAACCGACTTGATGGCACCTAACAACAACTAAACTGATGGTTGGTGGTATGAACCCACCCTGTGGCACCACAGAAGAAAGGCCTGGCAATCTGATTCTGTAAAGGTTATGGTCAATGAAAATCGTATGGAACTCAATCCTACCCTGTAACAGATGGGGTCCACATGAGTTGGAATTGACTTGATGGTGAGAGGTTTGGGTGTTTTTTTGTTTTTTGTTTTTTTTTTGTGCTATTTGCTATTGTTGTCACACGTTACTTCTACATAGGTTAACTGGTTAATTATATTTTACTTTGTCAATTATATTTTTAAAAAATGAGGAAAAATTTCCATTCTGTATTATTTTCCCTCTGTTTGAATAACTTCCTTTAACATTTTTTGTAGCACAGGTCTGCTGTGATGAATTCTATAAGCTTTTGTCTGAAAAAAAATTATTTCATCTTCACTTTTGAAAGTTGTTTTTGCTTGGTATACGATTCTGGACTGACAGATATTTTTGTACTTATTTTAATGTCTTGTTCCACTGTCTCCTGGCTCACATTATTTATAAGAAAAAATCTGCTGTCACTCTTCTTTTTATTTCTCTGAATAAAATGGGTTTTTTTCCCTGTGGCTGATTTCAAGATGTCCTCTTTATCATTGTTTCTCAGCATTTCTATTATAATATATGCTGAGGTATTTTTCTTTGTGTCTATTCTGTCTTGGGATCCTTTAAGCCTTGCAAAGTCAAAATTTATAGCTTTTATCAAATTTGGAAAATTTTTTATCTATTCTTGCTTCAAATAGTTTTTCTGCCTTCCCTCACCTTTGCTTGCTCTTGTCCCCATAGATCACTGATGTTTTAGTCAATTTTTTTCCTTTATGCTTTATTTTTGGATATTTTCTATTTCTATATTTTCAAGTTGATTAATCTTCTCTTTTGAGTGCTATTGATCTTATCCAGTGTATTTGTCATTTCAGGCATTGGGTTTTTCATCTCTTGAACCTCCATTTGGTTCTTCTTTATATCTTTCATTTCTCTCTTCATTATGCTTGTATTTTTTATTTCAGTCTGAGAACATATTTGTAATAGCTTCTCCCATGGACATTTTATGATAGAGAAGTTGAAAACCATATTTTTTTTCCTGCCTGGATAGTTATCCATTATATTATTTACTTTTGATATTTATAAAGTGAAATCTGAAATGATA